TTCTATGTGACATTTCCACAAGTACTCCTCGCCCCATCGTGCCTAAAAGTTATCACCGTAATGTCTTCAACATGTTGCATGGCTTATCCCACCCAGGTATTCGAAATACAGTCAAGCTCGTAACTAGGCGGTTTTGTTGGCCTGATATCAATAAGGAAGTAAGGGAACGATCTCATACGTGCCTAGACTGCCAAAGGTGCAAAGTGGTAAGACACACCGAAATCCCTCCTGACACCTTTAATATCTCAGATGCTTTCTCCAGACATGTCCATATAGATCTGGTTGGACCCCTCCCAGAATCTCATGGATATACTTACATATTGACCTGCAATGACCATTTTGGACGGTGGCCTGAAGCAGTACCTCTTAAGGATGTATCTGCTGAAATATTGCCACGTCTCTTTGTGGAACCATGGATCTCAAACTTTGGATGCCCATCCTCCATAACAACTGATCACGGGTTGCAATTCGAAAGCAGCTTATTCTTAGCTTTGACCAAAATCATAGATTGTATGCGTTTTAGGACAGCAGCCTACCCTCCTCAAGCAAATATTATGGTATAACGTTTAAGCCGACAATTGAAGGCTGGGTTATCAGCTGCGTACATTGCACGTTGAACTGGATCACTGCCGCTAGTTCTCCTTGGCATACGGGATGCCTTTAAAACTGATGTTGGCTGTACTACTGTTGAGCTAGTATATGGCACAACTATATGACTACCGGGTGAAGTTTGTTTCTCATTTTCATTTAGCCTTGCCCCCCTCCGACCACAGCCCATTGGCGTTTTTGTTGACTCATGTCTCAAAACTTCTTCACATATATTTGTTCGTTGTGACTCTGCACGTTGCCCTCTGGAACTCCCATACGATGGACAATATAAAGTCATTAAACGCCTGCATTAATTCTTTTGCCTGACGAGAAAGGCTCTAAAGACTGCTAGTATCGGTTGTCTGAAACCAACCTACTTAGAAGACAATCCCATGAGTCAGAGACTAGGCGTTCCGAATAACACAAAGCTGACTGAATAATCGTCAATCCTCGAAGAAATAGTTGGCACTGAGAAGGCAACTGAACCTTCTTTCGCGACCTCACAGAAAACACGTTGTGGAAAAACCGTGAAATTCCCAGAATACCTTCATACTTACCTCACATAGCAAGACTACCGCAACCCACCCAATTTTTTCATTAAAAGCAATCTGCAGAGATTATGGTACTTTTTCATGTATATAAACCGTTTTCACTGCATTCCACGTCATCAATTAAATGCCACTGCAACATAAAAATTTTTTCGATGTTCTATTTTTCGCGTTATTTTCCACGCGATAGATATATATCCTAATTCAAACATTATTTTCAGTAAACTTTCGTCGATAGGGTGCTCAGCTTTCTTGTTTTCTTTTACAGGTGTGACGGCCACTGGACAAGTAGGAAACGAAGCACGAGATCAAACGGACACTAATAAACGAACCGATGTGTATGCATCAAAATAGTAAAGGTGGACGAACAGTAGGCAATCCATCAAGCCGACTAGAACGGTTTTACTAATGGTGCCACCATTAGGTTTTTACTTCCTGCTGGTTTCCCTAAAGGCCCTCACAACCTCACTAGGGGAGTAGGCTGTAGCGATAAGTAATTCCCCAGAATTACTAGCCACAACATTCATCACTGAACACTGGATGCTGGGCCTCACTATTTAAGTCGATTTGTTTGCCTGAAGGCTTACGGTGAAACATCTACGCCATTTGGGCACGCCGTCTAGTTGCGTTACTTCATTCGTGAACGGTCTCTACCTGGTTAAGCAGTCGAGCTCGCGCTGCCATTTAGTCCAAAAATATGCTACGTGTTTCGGACGATCACTTCGGTGTTTTGCTTTGCCTTTGGTCTACGGGGAACTAATGTTATAGAAGCTGTGGTTATTAGATCTTGCGTTAGTATATATCGTAATATCCGGGAAAGTCAACACCCTCAGTCCCTAAAATGGTTAAAACTTCCTCAAGGAGAAGTGCATGATCCGTATGAGTTACAGAATGTTTCTTTAAGGAGTTTGGGCTAAGGCGAAAGCTGTTCAAGAAGGATCCAGACTAAATACCTTACATTGCCTTAAGCGATCAAGGCGATACAGTGTTTGTGCGACATTGATTTTCTGGAGCCGGAAAATTAAGGGGAAATTTTGTGCATGTGTACTGATTTATGGGCCTATGAAAGACCCCTAACCAAAGGGAGTATGACATTGAACATATCGGTGAGTATTGCCATACCATACTGGCGATAACAGAAGCTTTCGTGCTATTCGTTATATGCGGATAAGCATAAAAAGTGCCCAAAAGCCTGACAAACTATTATTTAGCAGTTTCGATAGGGCTTGAAATGCCTCAGGAAGTCTCTCATCAAATATTTTCAATATTATGGGTTAATGAAAGTGTGGTCTATGTGCTCCACCTAGGTTTTTCCTGACTTTTAACACTGTCTTAGACATCGTCCCTCTCTGAAGATGATCAATAATCCAGTGTTGTTCTGATTAAGATTGATCTAAAGGCAGTGAATCCTACTAGGAGAAAAGTGCTACTAATTGTGGTTTGTATTGTATTAAATGCTTCAGTCATTCTCTGCGTGGGTTTTATAGGGATGTGGAGGGCTAGAAACAGCAGTTAAAAAGTGAAATGCTCAGAATTATGACATGTATACATAATTGAAACAAGCGAGAGTTTTCCCTCATCAGCTCCTATCAACCCAACTAACAAAGGATCAATTTTAAACAATTCAGAATCCAAATTTCAGATAACAGATATAATGGTCGAAGATAGAGGGATTGGATCATATGTCAATCCTTTTATAGTGATTTTCTGTGCTGGTCCAAACCTTTCTTCAATGAACCAGACTTGGCAGAAGTAGTCTGCTATTGCTTCTGCTTTTTTTGATATTCTTCTATTGTGTCATTGTCAATAGTCAGGTTTGGGACACCACTGGATATCTTATTCCCTAAGTTCATGTACGAGGACATTTTCTTAGGTTGTACCATTACGCTCTGAGTCAGATGCAATACGAACTTCATCCTTGATTGGCGGATTTCTGCAGTGTCTTTGTTCCCAGCGATGGTGTTTAACTTTCTGGTCTCAGGAGTCTCAAGTGTGGCAAACAAGTTCTAACATTTGTGTTTACGTCCGAATAACTTACGAATCTCTTGGTTTATCCAGGGAGGGCAAAGTTTCCGACCCTTTGGGACAGACTAAGGGATGAAAGGTTCAGTTACTTGGGCCTAAATTTGTTTAAATTGGTTCCATGCGGCTTCTACTTTGGACTCTGGGTTAATGTACCAGTTCACTGAGTTGGCTGCTGAGACGATCGCATTTATATCAGCTTTCCAAATGTTTAGTCGAGCTGAGGTCTTCATCCATGGTACTGCTTCTGTGAACTTGAAAGCAAGCACAGTGTGATCCCTTCCTCCTAAAAGAGGAAGATGTGTGAGATCCACACCCTCACCATGGGAGAACACTGGGTCCAGGGTTGAAGCGGAGTGCTGCGAGTCATAGCTGACAGACTTCATGAGATGTTGGACTAGGGCTAGCAAAATTCTAGATTCCAGCAGTTTACGATCAATGGAATTGTCTGAAGATGGCGATGTAAGCCTCATCCAGACAACCGTTGAGGCATTGAAGTCGCCGACTATGAGACTTCGACATTTCCAAGTCCAGGTGCCTAGCTTCTTAATCAGGAAGTCATCTGCACTGCAGTCAGGACTGTAGTATGTGGCAATGAGGTCAGTATCTTGGCCTATGCATTTAAGTCTGAAGTGTAGAAGTTGGCATGATTCACTTTCGTGAGCGAGTTCTTCTAAGCTACGCACGGTTAAGCATTTCTTGAGGTAGATAACTATGCCACCTCCTTTGTGGCCAATTCGATTCATCCTATACACTTCGAAGCCTGGTAGATTGGCTTCGTTATCAGTGACATCGGATGTCATCCATGTCTCCGTGATGAAAATTACATCCGGATTTCGGGAGTCTGTCATATTACCCACCTCAGTTCGTTTGTTCAACAGGCTGTGGGTATTTGTGTAGCAAACTGTCAATTAAGTGTGGTGCTTCCACGGCCTACCTACAGAGGTTTCGGCATCATCAAACTTCGAATTTTGACAACCCGGAAACACTTAATCTGAAGACTTTTTCTTGCTGTTTCGGTGCCGTTCGCTTAATTCTATAGCAGTAGACTGTCTTTCGACGCCATCTTCTGGGCATAAGTGAGCACGGACGTATATGCCTCATCCTTTAAGATTTTGGAATGGCATCCTGTGGTGGAGGACATTTGCAGTCCAGGAGCTTTAGAGCACTACTGAGAGTGGCAGTGGATTCCGTAATACGGAAATTAGTCGTACTGCAGCAGTCATTACGCAGCCAGTTCTCCAGAGGTTTTAAGTAGTGCTGCAGGAGTTAGGTTTGTTCACATGCTGGGAAACCAACTCTTGCAGCTATCACACTGAAATCCTTCTTTAACTCGGAATCGACACACAAATCTTTTGCAGCCATTCCCTTTGATAGGCATACTTTTCAGAGTGAATTGGAGCTATAAGATTCAGATATGATTTTATGTATATTACCTCTATATAAATCAGTGATAAACAACCAATGAATGTACAAAAATGGAAAAATAATGACCATAAAGTTCTAAGGACACAATTCCTGTGAGTAGACAGACTCTAAACCTAACAGTAAACTAACTCCGACCATAATAAACTGGTTCGAAGTTATTCTATAGATATCTGGGGCGTATAACACAAAAAAAGGCGGAACTGAACAAGAGCGTGGAAAATTGACTTTCCTTTCAAAGCTACACTTAGTGAATAAATTAACTGACTACATATAATCAGAATGGTTATCTGAATCTGTGTTCAGGGAATAAATACTAAAATAATCACCAGGTTTTCACAAGCTGTTCATAATACATTGGAAATTAAAAATTGTTAGGTTGCACAAGTGACCTTCGCACGACATCGAATTGAAACGATGCATGTCGTGCTTTTCTTCACTTTCCTGCAAATTGTGTATTGCGACTTTAAATTAAGTGACTCAAAGTTACTTCTACCGTACTACAGTGTAAACCCTGTAAATTTTACACTCCATGGTAGTGATGGAGCTTGCTATGAATGGTAAAATAACTAATTTACTAACATATAAGTTAGGCATTCGGGTACACCCGAAGTTGCTGTTGTTAGCCCAATAGTAACATCCGAAAGCGGATGCTCTACCGCAGCTGTTATCACAGCTGTCTGGCAATCTCGCCACCGAGCTGTCGCCACTATATATGCTAAGATAATAAGTAAGTTTAGCTATAGCTTCATTTTCCTCACTCAGATGCTGAACATATTGTTAAGTGTGACGTGATTGTGGACGACATTCACCGAATTGAAATAAGTACGACTACTCAGGAGTTATACCTTCACAATACTCCCGTATCACTTGTTGTGACGGCTTTTGATGAATACGGCAATACATTCTCATCTCTTGAAGGTGTACCGTTTGAGTGGCGTATATTTGAAAATAGATATGAGGAATTTGGTGATGCTCAGAGTGTTTTGAGATTTATTACGTGGAGTGAATCGGAATATACAACTCCAAGTACAATGGCTCTATTGGAATCAAAAGGACTTCAGGTTTGTATATTGTTTTTGAACTAATGTTTGTAGGGCTACATGCAATTAATTAGTGGGTTACGCACTGGCTCGGCTGTCGTTAGTGTTGCTTTACAAGAGTCAATATACAGGAATGTAGACCCATGTCAAGTCCGTCTACTTGTTATGGCGAATGCTCAGCTAAGTCCAGCGTTGGCCTACTTAGTACCGAATTCTTTATTGACGTTCACGGTACACGTCATACAGCAAGGTGATGACCAGGGTAAGTATTATGCATGTTAATCAACAAGGCAATATGGTTCGTACCCAAAAGTCTAAATTTCCCAATAGTATGTTACGTTGTCAGGTACTTTATTCAGAAGTGGTTGTATCATGTTGACTACCATGCTATTCTTGTGCTACAGTCCCGGCATTCAGTTTGAGTGTTTGTATCTTTGATTTATAGTGCCCGGAAGCCAGTGTTATATAGTAGAATTGTTTGCAGCCCATATACGGATCGAATTGTGGGCAGCCAGTTGATACAGTTACGGGCTGCCTGTAGAAAATTTCAATCTATTCCCGAGAACATTTACAATTCCATCATGAATAAAATTCATTTTGATAAAGTCACACAGTGTTACACAGTTATATTTAATGATGACGTTTCAACACATTTTATTGCTCATAATCACATCAAGGTACCCACACAATTTTCTTGCTTCGTTTATATATATGAGTAAAATTTATTAGACATGAATGTATTCAATTAAAGTTCAGTAGACATAAGTAAAACAAAAAAAAGATAAAGTATATTTGGAACGAATATTAGTGTTATCAATAAATATAATACTATGGGAATTAAGGCGAGTGTTGTTAGTCAATCCATAGTAAATTTGTCTTTTCTGAAACCATCTCCTGGACGGAGTTCTGCATCCAGTGCATCTCTCCCGGATGACGCGACTGTGTTTTATTTGGCGTGACCAATAGCATTATTCCACTTCAGTTCTTGCAGAGACCTAAGTCGCCCTTCCTTGGTAGCTTGACAAGGTAACCTTTCTAATAGATATATAAACTGTATCTATAACAGCTTTGGAGAACCAGCGGAGTATGAAATAGCATTAAGCTGTGTGCAATAAGAGTTAAATACATATCACTTAGCCACTTCCTGATATGCATTCACTGGTATATGTGCTGGGGGAACTCAATGTGTCCGTTGTATGCTTGCTTATGTTATCAGTGAATTACGGTCATAAACAGGATGTACTATAAAATAGTATTGATCATTATCGTTTTGAAGCTTTGTTTTTTAGATAAATTCTGATCATTTGTTTCCAATGCATTTCTTCACAGAGGTGTCAATGCCATCTCTTCAGTATCATCTACAAGTGAACAATACAGATTTAGCTGTCCTTAGCCCACTTGATGGTTGTACTCTTAAAGCTCTGAATTATGGGCAGACGGAAGTTACTCTACTTGATCGCAGTAAGTTTTCTCTGCTTTTTGTTCCCAGCCATTCCGTTAATATGTATTCTCGTTCTTTAGGAGAATGAACGAATATATTATTCACATGGGAACTGATATCTCCGTCTCCTATTCTTTCTTTGTTAGATGTTGAAGAGGCTTTAGAAAAATTGGACCAAGTTATGAAATCAGAAGTAGAAGAGTCAGATCTTCTTTTGCCAAAACGTAGACGCCCAACTTCACTTATACAAATTGTGGAACCAGCCTACTTAGGCTTTACACTCATGCAAAAGTCCACTAGCAAACAGTCAGACATATGTCAGCTGGCAGCATTCTTGAGTTCAGGGTCATATGTTAACCAAATTGGATCTGGTTCTCACATGCCTATTCGGAAATGGATTATGGAATCAGGCAAAGTCTATGTGATCAGTGTAGATATATACGATCGTAACAACCACCGTTTATATCCATCAGATAATTTACGTCTCACTCTTAATTTTCCAGAAAGTCATTTCGAGGTAAAATTCCTTTTATGTTAACTACTAAAACCTTTATAAGCGTGTCACTTATCTTTTTACTGTACTGTTGACTGAGTATACTATGATCCACTTTCTTTTGTATGGACAGACTTTCCTCGTTCTAATGCTACATAACTGGAGTTGGTTATACTATTACAGTGATCTACACAGTTATCAGTTAATGTAGTATGAAACTATACCTAACTCATCTAGCGTTATGTGTTTAAACTTCCCTTTCCTTATCGAGATCTAAAAGGCCTAGGCATAACTTGAAATCCAGTGTATTTCGCTGTAGAGTTGTATTATTTTGTTCTAAGTAGAGATATAATCACTTGCTCGCCTAGGTTCTTATAGTTACAGACATGTGGAAACGTCCCGGACTCAGCTGTTAGTAGGAGGCGGGAGTTGCTATTTTCATCACCAAATGTACTCAGCAGATATTGTTAATATTTTTACTTTGGTAAAGGATTCTTCAAAAGACGTTTATCAAAAACACAGCTAGATAAAGGTTGATTTTTATGTGTATTACTGATGTATTAATAATCCTATAAAAATAGTCATAAACCAGAATAATGTATCAAATAGGCGGAGAAACTTCACTCTTATATAAAATGGATATTCGGAGATTTAACACATGATGTAAATGTGCCATACTATGAAAGTAAAACAAGAAAGGAACAAAAGAAAAGGCTAGATAAAGTATCATGATAACCGGAACAGAGGCAAATATATTTCACTTATTAAGCCTAGAGCTATTATCACTACGAACAAGTTTTATCTTCCACTAATAGTGTGGCGTGTGCTACTACAGCGAACAGATGGACCTTTGTAAGTCGTCTTATGCTAATAATTTACATAGCTGTAACGTGACTCATTAGCTTAAGTAATGTGTTTCCAACTATTCCGTCCTTACTTCAGTTGTTTCATGCTTTAAAAGACAGTCTGGGGCCAACTTTATCTAATAGATGAGTTGTTTTATTTCTTATTGTGTAATTATATTTTAGATCTTACAGTCATCATCAAACCAAACGTATGTTATTGTTAAAGCGTCCTCATCTGGTACAGTGTCTCTCAAAGCAGTATTAAAAGGTGTTATTGATCAGGTACGTTACTTTGCTTATGATTGTTTTAAATGTGGTTATTGTAATAAATTTCATCCAGGTGATTCACAAAAGTTAATGTTTTCTATGAGTTTTTTTAACTTATTCTTTTTGGGTGCTTATTTTGGTTTGTTTAAAGCAGATTTTCAGATAGTAGTAGTAGTCGTAGTAATATCTATTTAGAGACTTCATGTTTTATTGAGCTTTGTCTGAGAAGCTAGCCGTCATGTTAACTGTGAAACCTGGTGTCCCACACATCTATGGACATTTTCCAACGTATCAGCTGTATGTATGGATTGTATGGATTAAAATATCAAGACCATAGCCTAACTCCTTAGAGTGATGTACATCTTTGATCTCTAGCAATGTTTATGTCTATTGAATTACTCGTATACTTCAATGAACTCCATTGAGATTCCTTTAAACTGGACTCATTTTCTAAGAGACTTATAATTCAAGTTGCTTTAGAATATATAAGAGAAACAGATAATTACTATTCTCCCAGTTTCCAAATCCTCTGGTGTTTTGATACTGGGGATCAGTGCATTCCTCCTAAAGAACTTGTTATGTAGTGATAAATATTACTTGTTAGTGAAATCCATAACATCGTGTAAGTATTCGCGGAATAGGTAAAACGTCATTTTATTTGTATTATGTCAAACAGGAAAACAGCGTTTAGGTGTGTCTGTTCTAACCAGCCTAATAACTTATTTTTAATTTTTTTCCTATTTGAAAGAATGGAAGCTTTATTGAATTCAATTCAGTGATAACAGGCAATCAAGATGTAACTATTTACTCACCTATCAAAATTCACCCAACCTCGGTCATATTACCATGGTCAACAGATACATCACCCTCATTTAATCATACGCTTCCTGGTGCTGGTTACCAGCTGCGTGCTAGTGGAGGATGCGGACAATATAGATGGACAGCTTTATCAGCCAATGCATTGGAATACTATGCTAATTCTGGTATAATACCAGTTATTGAGTCTCTTACCGATACTGTCGTGTCTATTACAAAAACGGGTGTTATATCAGCTTTGGTAAGTTCATTATGCTGTATCGTGTAAGCCATTGTGCAACGTATTACCACCTTTTTACGTATTTTGACTTGCAATAGCATTTCAGTTCCACTTTAATAAAGGATGAGATTCACCAACCATTCAGTTAGTGTTATTACTGGTGAATGCTTTCATCTCCAGTTTTATTTTAAGAGACCTGAGTGGTTAATCTAGTGGGTATTGGCCAGTATATTGATTGTTCTTTGATGTTCTTTCACTTCAAACATTCCTCTCGTATGCTAAAATATTTTAGAGGCACTAAAATTACTCTATATGTTTATTGCAAAAAGCCACTACATTGGTTGAATTATTGAATGGTGCAAATTTATTGACCATTGTCTGAGTGAGTGTATGGAAAGTGTGTGATTTTCTCTGTATATTATCTTGTTTTTATAATAACCATAAGCATGATGCTAATTCCCCGGTCTTCTATCGAAATTGTCATTCTCCTTTTATGGTGATAGAAGCATTTGAAAGTAACATCACTCTGCAACTGTACTGACTTTAACTTCTATAATAATATTATTTTGATATCACTGCTCCTCCTGACTGATAATTAAAAAGGTTGCCTGCCACATGAGAACCCCTAAATATAACAATAAGTCGTGTAGTAGTAATTAAGAATTATGTAGATGGATTTTGAAGTGGATCTTTGTATTGTTGTTAAATATGTATTGCTACTGACATATGTTCTGTTCAACACAGAACACAATGAATTCTGTCCAGTTGTAATGAATTCGCTGTTTTCCGTAGACATGAGTATACATTAACTTGTAAATTTTTTCACTGTTAATTGTTTCAACCAATATTTTTAGGATCTTGGTGAATCTGTAATAGTGGCATCTAGCTTTTCAAATCCTCAGTTGTGTGGACATACTATAGTTCATGTACGCTCACCTGCTGAATTGAAGTTCGTGCCAGGACGTAATGAAGTTCTTATTCCGTCTCGGCGTAAAACTACATTTGCCGATGACTCGTTATCATATACCTATTTTGTTCAATCAGCTGATTCGGAGTGGAACGCACGTGATGTTTCTGCCATGAAGTCTAATTTTGAACGCTTGGCAGTTGGGTTAGCTGTTCGTGATTCTAAAGGTCAAAGTATGACTGACTGTAGACATTTGAATATTGAAATTCATGCAGTTGATCCTTCTGTTGTCAAAATTCTTCCAGGTACGTCAGTGTTTTAAGTTTTATGTATATTAATCATTTTTAAAGGAATAATTTTTGCTTTCTTCCATAATTAAGTGGAATAATTGACAGGTTTTTGTTATTGTTGTGATTTATCATATAGCTTTCATTCATCAAATGTTTTCTTTTTCTGACAGTAAGTGTCATCTCGCTGGATTAATTATTTATCAGAAACACCGGATAACCTTGTAATATTTAGGATTCTTAGTTGTTTATTCTTTTCTATTGTGCCGATTTTAAAGTGTCTCAGAATAAACTGCTACGCTGATTCTGTCCGTCTAAGGATCAATGTGGGACAAAAACCACGATGATAAAAGGTCGATAATGTATTATGCAGTTCTGTCAAGTCTCTTAAAATTCCCCATTTATTAGTTATAACTAGTCTTCAAAGTCTGTACCTGATTATATACACAGTAAACGTGCTAGCCTACAATAACCTACATTGTCTCACTTTAATTTGTAAATGTGTTGTATTGCTTTATGAAGTACTTTTGCAGTCACCCACTATTGGCTGAGTCAGAAGTTACATTTGATTCATTTTTCCAGTATTTAATAATAGTCTTTTTGTGCTGAAAGTTGTAGTTTACAGCTTGAAAAAAATATTTGGGAAGACATTATACATTACCATATCGTAGAAGTGAATTCATAGCTTCTACATTCAAAGGCATCAGCAAAGTACATGAATTATCGTAGCTATAACTGAATAACGTACATTGACAGTCATCCTTTTGCATAGTACATTTACTAATTTGGTGATTATATTATGGTTTCAGTTTCTTACTACTTAAATTACTCCTTCCTATCTGTGGCTACTGTCGAAGATTTCCAAACTAGGACTAAACAATTTTACTGTACCCATTAGCTTTCATTGATCGCCTGGTTGATATAAATTGATGCCAAAGCCTACCTTAAGATATTTTTCCTTTCGAGCATTTAGAAGTCTCATCTAAGTGGAAATGAAATGGACAAAATATTACTCAATAACCAATTGCAATACATGCAGTTGGCAATAAGCCACGTCTGTTATGCGAGGGCTAGTGATATAACCCGGTTGACCAAACTTTGGTAGGTGGAGCGGGACTCAAACTTGCCACCCATTGGTTGGAGGTTAGGCACTGAAGCCACTGAACCCCACTCATCAAAGTATCACTTAACTTTCGAATGTAACAGAAATTAAATGTTCATTCCCTGTTTCATGGTATATTCATATTTCACTTTCCATGGACGGTGTGGGTCACTTTGAAGTCGATATCATGGTAAAACTCATAGTTTCAGTTTTTTGTTGTATTGTATTCTCAACGACTACTATGTGTTTGCCCTTCTGTCACTACCTAAAATCCAACGCACAGAATTAGCTCAACTTACCAAGCTTCTCCAATTCAGGAAAAAGCCGCCAAAATGTACCGTCAAAATGGGAGACAGGGCAGTTCATGTCAATAAAAACATTCCAATGTGTAGGTACTGGAAACAAGCAAATGAATGCATACACTTACCAGTGTATTTTCCTCATTTCTTGTAAGAAATAGTAGCTATTAATTTCTCAAACAACATGCCATTTCTGTAGTTATATTCTCAAAGATTTTTTAAATAACTTTCTTGTGATATTTATATTACAGGTTTTTATGCACCACGACCCAATTCATCTGCTGACTATGGATCATCTGACCTACTTGAATGTCTGCATTTCTATCTGATTGGAGTTAATGTCGGTTTCACGGAAATCAAAGCAGTTTACAATCCGTCATCATCATCCGGGAGGGTGGATGAATCTTCCGTTATTGTCGCAAGTTTTCCTGTTGCAGCCTATCGTAAAATTGCTTTCATTGATCCTGCATCTGAAACCACTTCTGTTGCATTAGGTTCAACTCGAAGTATGCTAGTAAGTACTTATCTTATTCACCTAGGCTATTGAAAATGTATTTGGTGAGTAGTGTAAATAAATTTTAGTGGTGGATAGGATTATCACTCACAAGGTAGCATTTACGGTAGATACTATGCTTTTTAATCCAAGGCAGTGGCCAACTACCAGCACAAATATGTGTTAAGCATAAGACCATTCAGCTCAGAGAACACAACTACATCAAAATCATCCAACTTAGCTACAAATCTTCCCCATGATAAGCATAATCAGAACGATAAAAATGTGCACATGTTTTACTGAAGAACTTCTACCGTTTCAGTAGGAAAACTAGGCAATTGCAACTGTGTACATGAAAAGTGACCTTATCTAGGTAGTGAAACATTTGTAGACCAAAGGTGTTAAAAGTCAATGAAGGAGCATCCTTCAGAATAGATGAGGAAACGAATTGCAAAACACATGACACATCACTATCTGCAATCACATACAGTTCTTGAAAGCTTTTCTGAATCCATTGGGTTTACAAAACCTCTAGATTATTTAATCAGTATTAAAAAGTCATATTTTGGTTTTGTTTTCAAAATGTAGGTAACACATGGACCACAACCCTGGTCTCTCCCACCATCAGAACATTATATCAAAGTTTATGCTCAACCTGACTCAGATAATGATATCTCATTGCTTCCAACATTGATTGATGAACCAAACTTCTTCAAAAGTAGTAATATTAACGAAAAGGATACTAGACTACCTATTCATACTTATATGAATGATCAAATCGACAGTCAAGCTCGTTTAATTTCCTTCAGTCTTCGGTGTGAAGGGATTGGAATGTTTGAATTTGTTGTAGAAATTGGAAATCGTCCTACATCTACTATTCCGTATCCTATGGTTTTGACATCCAAATTCACGTGAGTCTACATCATTACTGTATTGCTTAGCTGTTGTACAGTAATTCACTGACTTTTAGAACAGGAGAAAAACAACCTATTTTTAAAGTTTATTTTTCAGTTTGTAGATTATTAAACATGTTTTGGTTAAGTGAAGTTTTAAACTATGGGATAACTAGTTGAGTATTGACTTCTTGATCGAGATGAAGGCGGCTGATGATCAGGAAAGCCTTGTTGGCCTATGGTAGTGTATAGGTGGTTATTACTTCCCGGCTGCCCATACCATGAAACTTGGTTTCTTCTTGGAATATCTGAAACAGAAGCATTAGTGTTGCTTGGCCGCACAACCCCGCGGATTATTAAAGGACAGTCACGCGATACCCGTTTGTGCTGGCTTTTATAGATGTGTCTGTACTAAGACCTTACTGCCAGCTACAGACAGCTGCAAGATAAAACAGGATGTATAGTTTTCGAGGTCAGCCCTTTCCGTGCAGCCGTTAAATCGCTACTCGTCATCAGTACTCATTCTCCTGCAGGCCCCCAATATAGTATGAACGAATTACATTATTATAGTAACTGCTTTTAGGCTAACCGCTATCCAAACGATTTTTCTGGCACGGTAGAACCTGCAGAAACGTTGATTCCAGCCATTGTAGCTCTTTGGGTCATTGCGATATGCGTGCCCGACCACCACGTCAAGATATCGGTTATTGGTCGGATAGTCGATTACCGCACACTTAAAATAGAACCTTAAAAAACGAAAACTAATCACATATTCACTTATTTACACTTGTGAATAATGTAATCTATCATTTAAGCAGATTTGTAAAGTATTTTTGAGGTAATTGTTTCCATGTTCGTATACCACAATCAAATTGTAATCAATAGTAACTCTAATAATACCTATTTGTTCATATATCTCACCATTAATGTACACCTCTTCTAATATACTGAAATAAACATGTTTACCCTTTACCGTATCCGCTACGAAGCGACAAATAGCTAAACTCAGAAACTACTATTCAACATGCTGCTGCATAAAACCACTCTCTACAGGAAAATGTTTTTGTTTCCTAAATAAGGTTAGAATAAATCTGTGTATGATTATCTTTTTTCTACAGTAATCCTCTTATACAGAGAGAAACATGGATTTTTTAAATTAGTTCTTATCTGTATTTTAATACTCATGTATTTATAGAGATATAGGAAATTTACAAAAATCTCAAGAAATCTCTATATATATGTGGTTCGTTAGAACTTGACTCCTGGATACACATTGTTCATCTACTAGGCTATGAGACACACTTATTGTGTGATGAGTGATTGTATTACCTACTCCCTCAGACTTAAGTTTTTCGAGTGGTATTCTAAATTAACTGTGATTCTGGGAAAGATAGTCAGATCGGCTTATTTGACAAGGTAAAACAGATCTATTCTCGAAGTGATCTCTGGGAAAAATTTCTTAAGTTTTTGTCATTCTTGGTCATAGTGTTTTCAGCTGAAAACAATCGTGGTAAAGTTGGGAACTCTGAATTTTTGCTTTGGATTACTTAGTCAACTCCTAAGCACAACCATCTAAGTAGAAAAGGTTATCTTATTGTTGATTTAGTTATCAGTTTTGATTAGAAATTATAACATGGTTGTTTGCAGTGTTTTACGCTTGTGTTTTTGCCTTTTCCTTATCACAGGATAATGTGTGACGTTGCAGTCAGTCTTCAGTTGATGCCCTTGTTCCAGCTTCCCTTGCTTCCTTCGCATTATCCACCTTGTCCATTGGTCAACACATCGTCTGCTGACTGGTCTCATGATAAAGTAAGTGGTAGTGTGGTCTACACTGTATGTTTCTCTTTTTTCATATTTAAGTTAGTCATTCCTAACTAGTTTTTCTATTCCTTACATTCCGAGTGGAACATATGGCTTCAAGCTTTAGAGTTTCAATAGTGGTATTGTTGGTGTTGCTAGCCTAACTCCCAACTTTCTCCATTTCCCAGGCTTATTATTGACTAGCAAGATAGGTGAGGTTTCGGAATGTCGGTCGGAAACTTTCTGTCTTCCATTTTTATTTCATAAATATAAGATTTTCGACTTAAACCGTATTCATTCAATTTTTCAGGTCATGTGGAACAACACTGTGAGTATTGTTGAAATCAGACTCAACTTTAGGTAAGAAAGGTGATTTGGCTGATGACTAATATACTGAGACGACTGGAATGTTTGTAGTACATGTCGCGACGCCGTCTTCTTTCACGATCTATACTGACTGAAGTAGAATTAGGTTAGAGATTAGTTAAGTGTGATCAGATCAAAACATGAAATAAATCACTTACTCAGTGGCTTCTGGTCTGAACCATGTAGGTTAGCTTGTTATTTATCTAAAACTTGGTTGCTTAAAACAAATTCTCCATATACCAGGTTATTTGTCACATTTGTTGTGAGAATGAGTGGTACTACCAAGTCACTCAGACTAAAGTAGTTGAGACGTCGTGGTTCAAACCGGCTGTCTAAATCTAGTGTTAAAGCTAATGAACCACTTAGATGGGTTCTCCAGCTTGTAGTCCACAGGATTCTAAAAACCAGTATTTGCAGAGATGCCTCAAAAACGTTCACAACGGAGCGTATGGATGTCTCCCAATAATCGGAATGGTGAATATCTTCACTCTTGATTTGGTTATTCTGCCTTTTACACATCTTTGTGCATTGCAGTACCACTACATCTATGTCTTATTCCTTTGTATATGTTGTGTAGCATAGTGTTATAACTTAAACTGATGCTCCACTATGAAAGCCTCTATGCTGATACTCCCACCTTATTACACAACGTTACCTCTTTCGATTCCTCATATGCTAATGTCATTACAAGTGGAATTTTTGCGAATGAACAATCTTTACTCTAATGACTACACGACTCATACCTCCCGTATTTGTATGAATAAGGCGTTTAATTCCAATGTGAATATTGTCGTTAGTACGTTTACACAAAGATGTATTAATAACTAAGTGCATATTTACGCTTATACCATAATTAATATTTTCTTTCATATCTTTTTTTGTCAGTTAATTTTACCAAATACCATAGCAACTGCTGTTAGTCTAGTTCTGTTCGGTTCAGAAAATCAAGAATTAGAATCAGTTGACTCATTTCTATTCAAAGTAGTGATTTCTACAGCTGAAAGTGCAACCATTAAAGAAAAGCAACAATTAGTTAAAAATTTCAATCCTCCCGTTTATCACAACAACTTCAACTAGTAAGTTCATAGTTTATATGGGATTTGTTTCCTTTTAAAGAGTATACATTCTTTTCCTAATTTTATAAATTGAAGTTTTATTCCCTCTGAACTGCATTACAGATATGCTTCATTATGCATGATTGTCCCAAATAGTAAAAACAAACAAATAGTTAATTCTTCATCGTCTTCTCAGGGATTCTTCAGCAATAAACACCTATGACCGTGTTGGGGAACGAACCTAGGACCAGGGGTTGGTTACGAGGCGAGGTCGTTTATCATCCGACTAGCACTCTCCCTAGTTTTCAGTGATTACCTAACTGATATCAATCCCTGATTAAACCTGAAACCAACCAAATCTCTACAAAATAACACTTAAAAACTTATCTATCTATAAACTTTAGGAAATTTGTGTAAAATTCGATATATTAGTTGCATTTTACTTCCACTCTTGATCAATTTTCGTTAATTCCATTTTTTTCAGCGGGACTGGTTATTTCTTAAAGAATTTCCTAACTGCTTAGATATCCACAAATAAAGGGATATCTAGTTAAAGATGCAGTCAGAGTAACTGCTATTCATAAATCTGTATATGTACGTATTTAACAGCATGATTCAGACGTATCCAACTTAGCAGCTCCTTCAGGTTCGATATGCGGTTAAGAGTTGAGTATCTAATCTATTGAACTACAGTTCTAACACTATCATTGTTGCAGTATCTGTCTCTTGTGTTAAGTGATATAATATTGTGATCAATATTGAGGCTAGGCGTCTAGTGTTAGGTAAGTAGGTTAAGTTAATCAAGGAGGTTGTGAAATCACATCAGTTGAGATGGTTAGGAAGTGTGTTGTGCATGCCAACCCACCACCTTCTCCGACAAGCAATATTAGCTGACATAAGATTAGGTTGGGAAAGATTAAGGGGTGGTCAAACCAAAACTTGTGATCAATCCATGAAGTATTTGACTCTTGGTTTCAGCCACGAAGATAGGTGTGGATTGCCTGATTGAGACCCTCAGGATTCTACGAACCTATGGGTGGAGGAGAGTATTGATGGTATGGCTGGAAATTGCTGTCAATGGCGCAGATTCATTCAGTCTCTACGATATCCCATATCCACTAAACCCTAATGTTTTTCCACGTTACTATTCCTTCTGCTTATTTCTGCTCTCTATAGTTCTTTTGAACTTCTTTCTTTTTCTCTATCTTTGCATGGTACTTGGTGCTTGGAAACTTGGCCTATTGCTGACTGACTAACTAAGTTTCAACATAGAACTTTGCACCGATGTACTGCAATTCGAGTCTCCACACTTCATGTAGCACACGAAGTAAGAGAAAGCAAAAAGAGATGCAAAACAGAGACAATAAACAGAGATATGAGGCAAAAAAGGAAGTAATATGGAAGAACCATATAGTTTTATTGGATATTATAAGTCACAAAGAGTGAATGAATCTGCGCCGGCCATTGAAAACAATTTTGAGTCATATCACCAATTGTCTCCAGCCATTGGTTTTTATCAACCCGAGGACCACAAAAAGTCAGGAAGTCTACACCTTCCCACGTGGCTGACTGGCTTAAACTAACTGTTGTGAACTTCATCGACTAATGAAGCCATGTTTTGGTTTGACCATCACTGGCCCTTTTCCAACCTGATCCATCGTGTTTCAGCTAACATTGCCCGTAGAAGAAGGCGATCGATGGCTAGACATGCGTAACATATATCGCAACCATTTCAGTCGATGTAATTTCACAGCTTCGTGTATTGATTTCTCCTCCTTACCCAGCACTCAACGCCTTACCGCAATATTGCTCACCCTATTATACCACTTCACATGGGAGATAGAATTCAGTCAGTCAGCTACTACAGTACTGTCTGTGTGTGTGTGTTTAATTCAACTAGAAGGATTTATAATTAATGAATAAACATGTTTATTTCTTTATTATTGTCCATGACATTCACCCAGTATATACCATAACTGTTACATCTGTGAAGTGTAGATATAAACAGTAAACAATTAATATTTGGCTACCATGAATTTATCTCTTATTCCCATTCACCGACGTCCTGATCACGTTGCATGTGCGGCTTGTGTAATCAGTTAGCTCTGTTAGACGTATTTACGAATAGCGAGGGTCGTCTACACTAGCCAATCACTCATCATACCAGAAGTACTGATTTCTTATGGTATATCCATAGTCATACTTAGTATTGTTACAATCAAATAAATAAATAAACTTTTTCTCAATTCATTTGTTTTTTTAATATCTCTTTTCCAGTGATAAACGATCTTTGTCACATCCTATGCATCCAAGACCGCATTTCTTTATTACACCAGCTGATTACGGTCATTCCTCCGGTGGTCTTTCAATCCAAGTTACAATTCAGTCAAGGTCACCTGATAAATATGTCCCCTTCTTGTCTGGTATTCAGAGTTTACAATCGGTTTTGAATGCCTACTTAAGTCCTATGGTTCATGTGATTCCAGCTCAGTCACTGTTGTTATTTTATCATCCAGATGTAAGTTGAATTCTCATTTCTTTTTTCAATGTGATGAAAAATAAATAGATGAGTGAGTTATCTTAATAAATTTAAGTGCAATGTGTTTTCACGAAGTTGTGTTATTATGTATTGTTTTTTAGGCAACATCATCTGCTCACATTCATGGTGGATCTGGTCACTATTATTTAGAAGGTTCAGGAGATCTTAAAGATCCACATCATCATCATCATCCACTTCGTATAACTGAACAATTGTATGAACCAAATAGAATGACTGATCCTACTTCCTACATAATACCAAGGCGAACGTATAAAATACAACCACAAAATGTGGGACATGCAATAATCGAAGCAGTTGATTTGTGTTTTCCAGCCTTATCGGAATCAAATCAGCTGACTGAAAATTATTTCCATCCAGCTAAAACTGAATTCAGTGTCGATGTAATCGGTTTGAGTGCCATTAATCTTCGGGTTATTGATCGAATCCAGCTTGGAGATGAGGTTTGTTTTCATTTGTATTACTAATTGTGTAATGTGTGAAATTCGATAATTTATTGTTATTTTTCAAAACTTTCTAAATAATGGCGTTTGATCATAATGATTGATTGTACAAGAACGTTGTTTAAGCTGTATTTTGTCTACTCCCATAATTCTTAATTGTTCTACTCTTATCTGATGGTATTATGATCTAACTGTTATCGTTTATGAACGTCAAACGTTGTGGTTGTCTATACACATATTCTCAACGATCTGTTTAATTCACTTCGTCATTGCTTAAGCTGTGAAGAGAAATTGTTACGTTCTCACTAGTTCATCGCATGCAGTGCTAATACAGACTTTAGTAGTCAACGTTTAGTTTTCAGGATGCGCTCTTCCTCCTATTTTAGACTTTCCAGTTGAATGTGTCTGCATTCAGAAATTATGGTGTCGTCAGATAGACTGCAGTTTCAAATGTAAAAAAGACGTTATCCAATAGGTTATTTAGTCGTAGTGGCCTCCTCTTGTTCAGTGCATATCATTCCGTATTTTACGTGTTTATCTAGGGATTTCTCGTCATTGACTTCATTTGGTTGGCTTCATCAGTCCTTAGTTGCTTATAGGTTTCCTGAACAGTTGTCTGTATATTAGCCTTGATTGTATTACTCATGTTGACATTCAGATGAAGTTTTTCTCTTCATGGAGGAAACAAACTGTGAAGCATCTGTTAATAGTCTACTTGTGAATTATGTTATTTTACGGAATAGCTTGTCTTGACGGTTTTAATGCTCTCTGTTCTAGAGCTTTCAACTTCATCTTACACTTTCTCTACAGAGCAATTGATAAGGAAGCGTGTATGCAATTAAGGTGGAGCTCACTGGTCGGTCATATATGTCGTTGCACACTTAGTAATGAGTAGGAATGTGACTGTGCGTCGGTGGCACAGTGGTTAGGACTTTCGCCGACCATGCACATGGTTCGGGGTTCGATCCCCTGCCGACACACACCTGATATCTATGGTTGGCCTGCAAAATTTGGGCTACCGATATCCATGCTGAAAATTCCATACTTGTACTGAAAATACGGTGTGGCATCAAGCTGTAATCAAAATAAAATAAATAAAATTTAAGTTCAAGGGTCCATTATTCAGCTCCCTATCCAAAATAATTCAACCTGGGTGACTGAGTGGTACCATCAGTCTTCATATAATAAGCTTCGCTCGCAGTTTGGTAAATAAGCGATATATTTGGCTTAACTGAGTTCTAACTTAGCAAAGAAGTTTTTCTACGACGGAGAGACTGGTGATACAACCTGATTTCCCAAATTTTTGTGAGTGGAGTAGTGTTGGCATGCTTGTTTCGTCGATTATGAAATGAACTACCCAACTCATTAAGCTATAGGTTCGAATGATATGTGTATAATTAACCGCGTGAAATGAGATACACGGTTACAAATCTTACTCTGCTTACTACATAATATACGTATGAAACCATATATCGTAAATTGGGAAACAGTATATCTTTTGTTTTCCAATACACAGTCAACTTGTCTTATCATTGATTTCTCTCAGAGTAATGATGTTCAATTTCCTTGCCTTCATGGAAAAATGATAAACTACTTTTACAAATATTTTCACATATAATTCAGTTTTGGCGTTTGAAACCATGGGCACTGGGTTCGAGCCTCGGTGGGAACAGGGTCACTCACTGGGGAGCGCAGGTACATTCATCTGATGGATCCCAAATAGGACAAAATGAGCATCCTGGATCCCACTGCTAGTCACCATCAACCAATTGATTTTCATATTTGTTTCCCCGTAAAACTTTTGCAAAAGTTAAGCATAACTAATCTCTGTCAATTACTGAAAAGCCGTGTTCATATTAAATGTTAACTATGACAACCTCTGCATAGTATCATTCTTCACTTAGTGGAGTATAAGCGTGTTTTAACCATTCCAGGCGAGGTGTATAGCGCCTCGTTTCAAGATAAGTATACTTGAATAGATGGTTTACAGTGCTACTCAAACATCCTGTAGAGCTAAAAATCCACATGTCTTCTGAAATATACCCACTTTTGGATACTATCAAAAAAACTGTTGTCTTTTTCTCAACAAAAGCTCATATGTATTAACAATGATCAGACGATTAGCTGTATGTAAGACGTTTGTTGTTTCTGTAGCATATAATTGGATAATACAACAAGCAATCTTGTTCTCTTTCTAGATAATCACAATTTTAATTTATTACTGATTTTACATTCTAGGTTACAGCTTCTATAGAAGCCATAGGTACAGATGGACTTGTATTACCAGCGAAGTTTGCACGTTTGTTGAAATTATCAATTGTTACTGATCGTTTGGTTTATTCAAAATCTGGTCACAAGGAACCGCATGACTCAAAAAGGATACTTGGTGTTCCAGATACCGATGTGTCATCTGAATCATTCTGGATTTTGAATTCTTCAAGTCTCGAAGCACCTTGTTCAGGTCAATTCAGTGTTCGTGGTTTGGCTCTAGGTACTTCTCAGCTAATGGTAACGTCTGTTATTCCCAGATTATCAGGGAATAAACCAATCACTGTCCAAAGTAACGTCATTGAGATCCAGGTGAGCTTTATACGATACTTTTTTTTTATCATAAAAATGTCCTCAAAATATCGTAAATTACTACTGATTATTTATTATTTTCTTACAGGTATTTGCACCCCTTCGTTTAACTCCGTGTAACTTTAATCTTCTCTTGGGCGCTGAATATGAACTTCATGCAGTGGGTGGTCCTAGTCAAGCTTCACTAGAATTCATCCCTGAGTCTGCTTCAGGTCGCATAACCGTTGTTAAATCAAATCCTACTAGTGTCTTGATACGAGCATCTGAATCCTTGGGTTTGGCTACTATTCGTGCTCGAGCAGTGGGAATTTCCGGTGGAAAACATGATGATTATGTAATCTACTCAGAGGTATGTTACGCTTTGAATCTGTAAATTTACTTTTGGTTTAATATTGCTTAAATGTACAACTAAAATTACCAAAATTTTCATTTCAGACGATATGCAGTATTCATGTCGTAGCTCTATCTGGTGTACGTATTGGATGTCCACTCGCCAACATGAATGAGGTAATCTCTCAAATCCATGATCATTCAAGTATCCACGTCCAAGAGTTGTCTAACTCAGGTGAATCAGACAGGCATTTTCTTCTGTCCTGCCCACCTGGACGAACTAATGACTGTGGGTCAACACCTTTGTGGGCCGAAGGTTTAGCACATAGTCCTTATTATTCTGAAGATCAGTCAAACTCAAATTTAGTTTCTCCTTTGGGAATGGCTGCCGTCTTTCCTCCATTACGTTTTCGATGGCACTTAAATCCACCTGAGCCCAGTTCTGTGGCCCGCTTAGAATACTGGCTTAATCGGTTCGGTATTGATGCAGATGAGGTAAGCAATAAAAGTTGAGACGTTTTTTTTCTAGGAATAAATATAATTGGTTTCTTAAATATCTCAACCCAGTCTGAGGGACTATACATAAATATACATTAGAATAAGATTATTCCAAGGGAAGCTCTCTTTCCGTACATTTCCACTGAACTTTCTAACCATTTATATTTTGTTCAGTTTACTGGTTGCATCGAGAATATAAACTATTATTGTTTGATTTTAGTCACAGGCTTTACATTATCAGATTAGACGGTCTCAATTACACAGCATTGTCTGGTGTGTTTCGCGGTCCGTGTTGTCAAAATGCCCAGTGGTAAAAAGCATGTCAATATTGTCGTTATTGGACACGTGAATAGTTGAAAGTCTACCACTAGTGAACACCTTATCACTAAGTGTAGTGTCATTGATAAGCGTACCATAGAAAAGTAGGAGAAGGAAGCTGCTGCAATGGTTAACAGTTCTTTCAAGTGAGTTTGAGTGTTGGACAAGCTAAAGACTGATCATTAGCGTTATGTCACAGCTGATATTACATTGTGGAAGTTCCAGACACCCAGATACTCCATTACATTTACTGAAACCCTTGGTCATCATGACTATATGAAGAACATGATAACCAGTGCTAATCAGGCTGATTGTGCTGTTCAGGTTGTTGCTACTGGTGTTGGTGAATTCAAAGTTGGTTTGCACTTTGAATGTCAAATAATTGATCGTGTCAATCAACAAAATGGTACCTATAGAGGCAGCATATTTCTAAGCTTGCTATCAAGAAATCAAGAAGGATGTGTTTGACTGTATTAAAAGGGTTGGAGACAACATGACTGAGAAAAGCACAAAAATATGCCATGTTATAAGGGTTTTACGAGTGGGAAAAGATAAAAAGGAAGAGTGAGACTAGTTTCATTCTTCTGGACGCTGTTGATAAGATGAACTCACCACCAAGACCCACAAGCAAACCCATCTTATCGCCATTACAAGGTGTTTACAAAATTGATAGTATTGGTAATGTCCCTGTAGGTCTTATATGTACCGATATTATCAGATTTGGCATGGTTATCACCTTCGCTCTTCAAAACTTAATGAATAAAGTCAAGTCCCTTAAGATGTATCATGAAGCTGTTTCTTTATGCTTAACGAAGAAACGTCTACAATCAAAACTATATCAAACAGGGATCAAAAACAGCAATCGAAACTACAGCGCGAAAATACGTCAAGCTTTTTGGGTCTTAAATTAACTGAGTGATTCATTTCCAACTGTTGGTTTGCAACGATTTGATCAGTGTCTAGCTAGATCAGTTCGCGCTCTAGCTTTAAGTGATATGCGAAAAGTGAAATACTGAAAAGCCCACCAACCATATCAGATTCAGTAACCAGCTCCAGAAGAAGGAAATCAATCGACGTAACAGACGAAATTTGTTAAAAACTCTATGTTGTAAGGCAACAGTCATCAGTTCACGAAAGCTAACCACTTACACCAAACAACTATTGAGCTGGCTGAGGACAAGATAAACAACGGGGTAAAAGTAAATCCGAATAAACACTAATAAAATAACCATTATTTCTATCAATTCTCGTCTCTCATTGTAGATGATTATCTTAATATCACTGGACGTACTTTCTCAAAATGACGTTAGTAGCGAGGGTACTTTTTAACCAGCATTTTATAGTATTACTGTTACCTTGACCTTCCAGCTTATGATTATAAAATCATGTTTCCATGATCATTCCTATAAAACATTATGTAGGCAACTATTTCAGAGATAGAACTTTTCTAATTTTCGTAAAACTATCAAGTTCATTGGAAGGTAAATTTCTTGTATTACGTTGAGATAACCACGGTTATAAACACAATTATGACTTTTGTACTGAGCTAGAAACTTCTACTGCCACTACTACACATTATTTGTCATATTTCCTATCCTATTGTTGTTATTTAGAATCACTCAGCATCTGGAATGATTCTTGTCGGTCTGAAACCTGGCACTGTGACTGTTCATTTGACAGTTGAGCCAACTGATCCTAGTGCAAAACAGATCAATGCAGTATCTACTGACGGTGTATCAACGGATCGGTTGCATGCTCAACTAAAAATTGTTATTCTATCACGACTTGGATTGAATTCACCACCTCGTGAACCGCAACAAATCATTTTATCACCGAATTCACAATTGAATTTAATCCCATGGACTGATTTGTAAGTTATCTTTATTGATTAATTAGCATTTATATGATTATGTGTATGTTGTCAAATATCAGCCATCCAGAACTCATAAAGAATGACCTTTTTACTGTTGTACCTTTAACACTAAGTACAACATAGCTGTGAAGCATAAAGGACTCCTCTGAAGCTGTTGAGTAGGATTTGAACCAGAGACTCGCCAACTGGAACTAAATACTTGAGCCGATGAGTTGTACTGTGATGGTGGATGGGTGTGTTTAGCACAACAGGACGGCATTTTCTGTTTATTGCATACCGATGACTGTCTCCACCATTTCTGACATTTTATCAGCATCAAAAATAAAAGACTCCAAGTTCCTGTATGTTTTTTTTACTTTTCATGTAACTATGTTTGTGTCTTGTAACACGCTTTTTGTCTTATCCTTTAAATCCCCCCAAAAAATCAATTTTCTTTCTTCTCTTTTTTTATTTCTTCCAGACGTTCAGACAGTATTCTGCGCTACAAAGTTTCCACCCTTTCACACTACACGAACATATCATTAGATCGTACAGATGAGATAGTTACTGTCACTTCAGATGGTATATTACGTGTGAATGATAAATGTTCAAATATTGGGTCAATATGTCAAATGACACTTCAAATCGAATCAATACCAAATGGAAATTTATTAAATTTGAAACAATCACACGATTTTCAAACTTCATTAAAACAAACATTAATCTTAAATGTATTTGTTAAATTGCCACGTTATATGATGTTTTCTACACCACGTGTTTTTATTCCACAAAGTGATAAATCATCAAAGATCAAGGGTCTACCAGTCGGTGGACCGTATAAATTAGAAATAACATATCATGATGAATTAGGACGCTTATTTGACGCTGTTTCAGGCAAGTTGAAGCCTTCACGTATTTAAAATTTTTTACTTCCATTCATGTTAGCTTTCTATTGAGGCTTTTTTAGAACTCACTTGTCTGGAGCCGGCATTCATGTATCAAGATATGAGTTACACTTATTTGTGTGTGTGTGCTCATGGTACTGCCCAGTCGCCCAGGTTCAAGTAGGTGGGCGGGGATTCGAATCTCAGGCCCATTTGCTGAAAACTGACTGTTTAAGTCAATGAGTCGTCTATTTTCATCTCTAGTAGTAAATTGTCAGTATAACAAAGATAAGAAATCGATAATTCATTTGTGTGTGGATAGTTTCTGGTTTCAGTAGCTATATCCATATTTCAAGTACCTCATGCCAACATTGTTCAGCGTTGTTATGCATTTCTATCGGTCTGTAAAATGGTGCGTCGCTGGCACAGCGGTAGAATGCTCGCCGACCACAGTATGTAGTTCGGGGTTCAATCCCCAGCCTAAGCACTCCTTTACCTGGCTAAGTCAGTAATAAAACTGGTGAAGGAGGGGGAGGTTAGGCATAAGGCTAGCAACCCAATCCCGTAGAAAAACACCACTGCTACCGAAACTTCAAGCCTCTAGCTTGAAGTCCTATGTTCCACTAGGAACGTAAAGGAATACAATAATAAATAATTGGTCTGTAAAACAGGGTGCTCAGAAAAAGTTGTTTAGTTAGTGTTATTGTTGTTAGGACTCAGTCTCTTGGATCATATTTCCTATTTACTAGGCTATTATCCGCTCGTGATGGCTGGCCATACTACTTAATTACCCAGATTGAAGTAGGCAGATGGGGATTCAAACATGGAGCGCTTCAGCTGAAAGTTTGTTTAATAAGCTAATGAATCACATTCAAGCGTGGGGTCATTTTGCGCTGTGAAATATCCTCAGTTGTCAAACGCTTTATAAATCTATCGTAGTATCCTTTTCAGCTGTAGGAATTCATTTTCTCTCAGTATAATTGTTAGCTTGAACAACACACCAGTCCTCATGAAAGGCACTTCAAATAACCGTAAACATTGCTTGAAAGGTTTGGTTTTCCTTCGCTGAGCAGTACAATATATAAATTGTTTGGGAGATAACATCTTGGAATGTTTGTGTTTACGCTCATACCACTATTAGTTTTTCATCGATTTTTGTCGTATATTATATTTTAGTGATTAACTTTTCAGGTATATGTGTAGTAGTCACTTCATCTTTGTATTTATAAATTTCCACTGTTTACCTTTTAGATGACTTCCATCAATTGAAAACATCACTTCATCGATCAGATCTATTTTCTGCTCAATTTATACGTGATTTTGTGACTGAGGAATATTTCCTTACGACGGATAATGCATACAATACAGCCCCTCGAAGTGCCGCTTCTTTTGGCATGAGTATTCATTCTTCACATATGTCTTCTACAATTGATGATATTGAATTAATTCAAAGTGCAAAAAAGAATCAACTGGAAAAGAATCCTCATTGGACTGTTATGCATATAACACTATCGAATAAAATTGTTGGCTTATCTCCGAGTTATTTAAGCTTACCACATACTAATTCACTTGATCTTCTTGGTTTAACATCTTTAGTTGAAGGTCAATGGATTTGTCTGCCAAAATTATCCACTTCATCAAGTTTAGGTTAGTTCATATTAGTTTACTAATTGTTTTGTATTTTACACACAATTGGTTTGGTTCAGATAACTTATTGTCAGTTCCAAATAATTATTCTGTCAATTTTCAGCTACTTATTCTTTGTAATCAGTAGTGTGACTGATCTATGCGTTATAAAATGTCTCAAGTCACTACATGGTTGGAATTTGATAAACTTCGGTTATCGACCAAAGGGCGGGTGTACTGCCCAGCAGTCCGCTCCGTCCTCCTTTATGACTGTAAGACATGGCCATTGAAAGTGGAAGATACGAAAAAGTTGGTTAGCTGTCTTTGATCATAGGCGTTTGCGTTCTATTTCCCGTGTTAAGCGGTATAATAGGGTGAGCAACATTAAAGTTAGACGTCGAGTGCTAGGTAGGTGGCAGGGAAAATCAGTCGACGAGTTTGTGAAGTTACAACGAGTGAGATCGTTAAGACACGTGTAACGTATTTCTGGGCATCGCCTTCCTCGACGGGCGATGTTAGCTGACATAAGATGTGATCAGGTTGGAAAAGGGCCAGTACTGGACAAACCAAAACACGGAGTCAGTCAATAAAATCCACTACAGTTTTTTTAAGCCATGTAGGAAGGTGTGGACTTCCTGATTCGATGGGGTCCTCGGGATGGTAAAGACCAATGGCTGGAGACAATTGGTGATATGACTCAAAATAGTTCTCAATGGCCGACGCAGATTCATTCACTCTGTGTGACTTATGATATCCATTGAAATTCTATTTTTCTTCTATATTACTATTCGTTTCACATCATGTTTCTGTTTATTATCTCCCTTCTGTTGCTTTATGTGTTACATGGAGTATGGCAACTCGAACTGCTGTACATCGGTGCAAAGTTTTACATTGAAACCAGTCAGTCAGTCATTTTTCTTAATCAAATCTATCGGGTATTCAAGCTGATAAAGTTTGTTTCTGGACACATAAACCAAGGAAGGGATCTCTTTTCGTCACTTCATTTCAAATCTGTGTAGTTATTTAAGCGTTTATATTTACAATGTTAATTGACAGTAAACGGTAGTTAGTAAGACAATAAATTAAAGTGTATGAGTAGTAAGAATGTGCCAACAAAACGAAATAAGTAATATTACGTAATCGGGAGGGTTGACAAATAATTAGTTAAGTGATGAGTAGTAATCATTTGGAAATAATTGATGGAATAAAGGATTGAAAATGAGTTACAAAATAAGAGGTTTACATAGAGTTTATCAAACAACAATCTAGGGAAATAGAATGGACACGAAGGTCATAGTAACAAAATAGATTGGATAAAACGTTTCTAAACGCAAATCTCAGGTTTTGCTTCATAGATTAGTAAACCGTCGGCTGCATGAACATGTAAACGAAATCCTTTTGAGCGGTTTGATCGTATTAGAATAGAATTTGGGCATTGCGGTAGACTATAATTCCATCATAGCGTGAATGTATTTCATAAAGTCTCACAATGTTGTACAGTATTATTTACTGATGATGTTTCGAGTGCAATTTATTGCTTATAATCATATCATAACCTCTTTTACCTACCTGGGAGGCATCGTTTCAACTACAGGCGGAACTGACAAGGATATCAAAGCAGTGAGGATCGGGAAAGCAAGACAAGCTTTCACTACTCTCAAGTCTGTGTGTAGGTCAACAGCATTCAGTATCAAAAATAAGATCCGGATTTTCAACTCCAATGTGAAGTCAGTGCTACTTAACATACGGATCAGAGACTTGGCGCGTCATAAAGAGCATCTCAAACAAACTACAGACCTTCATTAACAGTTGTCTTCGCTCAATACTCAAGATCAGATGGTCAGAAAAGATCAGCAATAGTGGGGGATCTCTGCGAGTGAACCAACCAGGAACCAATTCTAAAACAAATAGGCAGGAAGAAATGGAGATGGATTGGCTGGCCATACTCTGAGGAAACCATCAAGTGACATCACTAGATAAGCCATTGCTTGAATGGAACCCGAATGGGAAGCGGCGAGTTGGTCGTCAATGCAAGGGTGACTTGGAGGAGGTCATGTGAAGAGGAGATGAAAACGTGTGAGCAGACACGGATCCAGGTGAAGACTCTAGCAGAGAACCGAAGGCAATGGAGACGCACGGCTGAAGCCCTATGTTCCTCTAGGAATTAAAGGATACAATAGTAATAATAATATCAAGGTAGTCACACAACTTTCAAACTTCGTTTACTCACAATACTCATCTTATTTCCGAATGTGTTTTATCTTCCCATAATCTGTTTCACGCATGTCTGTTAAACTTCGTATTGGTTAACTAAACAAAATGGAAGACGATTGACTTTTGTTTATTCATTCATATGTCTCATCAATTTTGTTACTCATGTGTATAAATGAGGTTTGAAAGTTTTTTGAATACCTTGATATAATTATGAGCAATAAATTGTGCTCGAAACGTCATCAATTAATAATACTATGTGACACTGTGAGACTTTATCAAATAAATTTACTCTATGACGGATCAGTCATACTTTGTAATATGACTCAGTGAGTTAGTTGATTGAAGAATCCTACGTGTCGGGACACTGACGTTCCTTCTTTTCATGAAGTACTATCGAGGCCTTGAATTCCTTATCATTTAAATTATTTTCACTATTGACATTACTACTCTCATTTTTTTCCTATGGCTCTTCATACATTTTTGAAAAAAAATGTGGTGATCAGTTAGTTATTCACTAGTACCGTTTTTTTTATTTGTTCGACTTCATTCTTTAATTCTTCTAACTTACTAGAAAAAGGCTCCTCTGTTGGCTCAATTAATATAAACATTTAACTAAACCTATCTTTACTGATCTTAGGTGAAAGGAATCAAAGTCTAAGTGCTTATTAGAATGTGATAGTTTTCTTAAAGTGCTTATATTTAACCCACCACCTTGTCTTCGTTTTATTTTACAGTCTAGCAATAGCTAATTTACCCTGTTCATTTTCTAACTCAAAAGTGAATTGTGTAAAAATCTTAGACATCTATTCAGAACATAACTCTGGTGATGATAGGGTATAAGTATTAAAAAGGAATAGTTAAGTTTAAAGAAAAGTCGATCACTGAATCCTGTGTTCATCGAGTCGATAACAAACACGTTCAATCAAAATGACATAGTTTCAATACCAGACATATGGAAAATCGGAATAAAAAAACTTGGGAAAGTGAAAGTGTAATTTTAGAAGATACGCGACTTGATAACAGACCTTTATTCAGGAAAACACACATCATATACATTCCTAGCCACATTAAAGTTCAGCTAAGTCAGAGGAGAATAAACTGTTCTGATTGGTTGGCAATTAACCCAAGATTGAACAGGCTATCCAAGGTTATTTCATGTCCATGAAGTAAACTAAATCCAAATATAAGGAATAAGCACTTCTATCTGATTTCCTAGCAATCTGCATCACGCCAGAAAAGTATATAAAGTAGGTTATGAAATCCTATAAATACATTAATATGATTATGAATTGTTTTCGAAACCTCATCCAGTTATTTCTGCCACATCACTTATTGTGTATTATGTCAAATACACTGACGTAATATGGAATTCGACCCTTGCATTGATGAATTGTTGTTTTGAAATAAATTAGTATTTTTAGATATATTTCTATTGTCTTTTAGGTGTAAATATGAATTATCTGCTTTCTGAATATACACTTGAGTACCTTATATACATATGAGTCTTTGTCACTGGTGTTTTCATTTCTTTTTCTTTTCTATTTTAGAGGATACTTGGTCTTCGGTGGATCCATCTATTCTATGGATTGATTCTTCAAAACAGTTAATATTAGCACGTCATTCTGGACAAGGAATATTAACTTACAGTCTTACACCTTCAATAAAAGATAGTCAACAGGATGAAACATTGAAAAATTCCACTTATTTTAATACTAGATTAAATCCACTTACCTATCTTATCAAATTGCCAGTTGTTCCTTTAGAATTGTATTCATTTGGTATGCCATCTTCAAGTTTAATACTTGTCGATACTGGTAATAGTATTCCACAAAGTGAACCTATCACATTTCCTATTGGTATTGATCGTCGATCACGTGGTGAATCATTTTCACCTATGCTACGTTTTCTTGTTCAGTTACCAACTAAAGAAAGGTTTGTTTAACTTCAGACGAAGGCAATTTAATTTCGATTGTATTTTGCTCTTTTAGTGAAATAATTTTTATCAGTTGAAGTTACGTTGTGAGACTAAAGAACATAAGCCAAACTTTACTGATGCTGTAGTAAGGTTTTGGAATTAAAGATTAGTTCAGAAGTTATTCACCTCATACTGCAGGATAGATTATTACCTATTTGACGTTAATATACCGTTTCATCCCATCTATAGACTCCTAAGCACTAGACACAAATGATCACTCAGAGGACGACAGAGTTGAAAGTCGAACGCTGTATTACTACTATTATTGAAACCCGTGGTTTTGACTCGACTGTTGTATAAATCAATATGATGTAGGTTCAGTAGATTTAGTACACAAAGTCAAGGGGTGAAGTAAACTACTGAAATGCATAACATCCCTACTTGCACCGTCTATAAATATACTTGGATGATGACATATACATATATATAGTACCTTGGGTGGAACATAGGACTTCCGCAGCACATGTCTATTTCATCCTGTTCTCTACAGTCCTTTTTAGCTGGCTTTACGATCCTCCATAAGCTTCCATTTCCTCCATGTCACCCTCAGACTTATGCCTAACTCCTCATTCCCCACTCAGATTACACTCCAGGGCCCAGCGTGTACTGTCACTCAAAGGTCTCCTCAGAGTGTATCCAATCCGTTTCTATCTCTTTCAGCATGTTTGTTGAGCGATAGGTTTTTTATTGATTCTCTATCTGCCATATTTCCCTCTTGGTTATCCTCTCTGACTGATCATTAAATCGTCAGTACCTGGACTAGAGAAAACAGTTGCTGATAAAAGTCTACAGCGGGATGTTAGAAATGCCCTTTGTGATGCGTGTGCCAACCCCATAATTCACATAGAAACACTGATTTGACATTAGTGTTTAACATCCTGATCTTGTTGTTTATGCTGATTGAAGCCTCTTTCTACGCTGATTTCAGTTCAATGATTTTCTGATCCTACCTACCTAAATAAGTGTAAGAGATGACTTCCGTTAGATTTCTCTCAACGTATATTGAGAGATGGGCTCATGACAGTCGTGTTTCCTAGAGAGGAAAGCTTTTCAATTTAAATGTGATAATGTTATGCTGTTAAATGCTGCTAAATTATAACGTGAGCATCGCTTCTGTATCCAGAAGAAAAGTAATTTCATCAAGCTATTTAAAATATCCTTAAAGCCTACAAAAGCTTTACATATCAGAGCAAGTTTAGTCTCTCTCGTGTTTCATGTGTGTATATATCAATTTGGTTTGTCTTCTTTTGAGGTATCTTGACACATACAGATAACTGACTTACTGATCTATACATACAGAACTTTGGATTAAAGTACTTGAACTTTCTTCGCAACACTCCAGACAAAGAAAGTCTCATGAAATTACACAGTGGATTGCGGTATATGACAGAGAAAGTAATCCGTTGCAGATTAGCGAAGAGTTTCGGGTTCTGATTAATGGACAAAGGTGAATAGATATATGTGTCTGCACCAATGTGAGAAACTCTTCAACTATAGTATCAAGAGTCTCCAACTATTTATTCTTAGCTTCCTGAAGACCTCAACCTGTCCCCTTGTATCTGATCCCTTCTCCTTCAGTAATTTCCCTGGTATTTATGAACAACTCAGACTATAATGTGTCAAAAAAATTAAGGCTCGTTTGATACTGTTACCTCACAAAATCCATACTTTCACATATTGTTTCCATTTCACCACGTTATGTTTTGATAACCAAGGTTATAAGGTTGGTTGTATTGTCACCAAATAGTTTTTTTTTCTGTATATCATCATATCATTGTTTTTCTCTCTGTTATTACACTTCATAATTTCCTTAGTAGTACCAATATCCCGTGCACTAAAGCTCATAGTTCAGCATTCGCTAGTTCTGCTCCTTTCAAGTGTTTAATTCGACTTCAAACAAACGATGAATTCCACATGGATTCAAATTATCGACCAAGTTTATTACCGAATTGGCTTTCACATTTAGTACTCTGGGAGTATAATGAAACAGTGGAAACTATCTTGGAGTCGGAATCGGCTAAATTCACTTTAGAACGATCTTTATCAACTCAACTAGAACCATTGTCACAATCGTCTCCCTTTTATTCAACTTCTACTCAATGGCAATGTGTGGTACGCGCTCCTGCATCATGGTCATTTAGTTTTGATGCCATTGCACTTACACTGTTGCCTAAAACAAGAATGACACTACAATTAGTTAGAAGTGATATATCCAAAAATGTTGAACAAGAAGAGAATTCGTCAATAATTGCGCAGACATCATTACTTCCGTTGCCAGGCATAAAAGTGCTTGTACCTCCAGCGTTAAAATCACAAGATGACGGTCAGTCATCTACTTCTAGAAATTGTAAGTCTTTTTAAAAAATAAGTTCTTTAGATTTATTAGTTGACATCACATAAATATCTTAGTGTAACTTAAAAATGAATAGGTCATTCTCAGTTCGTTTACATTTTATTTGTTTGATTGACGGTGGGTAGCAGTGGATCCCAGAACTTGCGTCTCGTCGTATGTAAAACTCATCGGTTGGATGTGCCTGCATCCCAGTGAGCAATGGAGTCTCCACTGGGACTCGAACCGATCGTTTATGGTTTCAAGCGCTTGAGTCTTATCCACCGAGGAGTTGACTCAAAAAATCATCTCTTGATTTGATATGTCAAAGGAGACCCAGTATGTTGGTCACGTAAAAGTCATTTGACGGGAAATTCAAAATAATTTTAACTGATTCGTGTAGGTGTGATGCAGGGAAACACATCAACATAAACTCCTAATCGCCTCCATCATTTAAAGAAAAAAGTCCTCTATCCTTATTCTTTTTTACTTTTTTGCTAAAGTTCTCTATACAAAATATTTTCTTATTAACTAACGCCAAATAAATGCGTTAGTGGTTTCGTAATAAGGATGCTGGCTAACCATGCACATTGTCCAGCTTTCGATTCCCGGTTGACGCTTTCCTAAACCTCGCTTAGCTCCTGGTAGTAAGACTTGTAAGAAGGGAAGGTTTAGCGTGAGACTAACAACACCACTGCCACAGAAACTTCACAGTACACAAGCTTGAAGCCCTGTGTTCTTTTCAGAACACAAGGGAATGAAAATAAACACCTAATATAATTCATTGCTTCTCCATTTATCGTAATTGTTGCAAACAGTCTTCTGTTGTTATTTTTTTCTTTCTTTTTGTTTTGAATTTTAGTGTATCATTTCTGGATTACGCATACAGATAGTTTTACTCAACGCCTACTGATATTCATTCCACCAGCAACTTCATATGCATTGAGTATGAAAGAATTAGGACAAGACAAATTATTAGTTAGATCACAAATGCCGGATATTTTAGAAATTGTTGGTTCAGTACATCCTGTCGAAAGTATGCTTGAAATTGTAGATATATTAAAAAATTATATACAAAGTTTATCATCATCTGCAGCCTCAGTTACACTGACATCATACCCAAGTAGTGTTACAAGTGAACTATCTCATTGGTTGCATGTAATTAATGAACAAATTGAAAATATTGAAGATGATGCCATCTCTGGTCAAAATTCATCTATATTAAAGCATAAAGTTTTATGGGCAATTCAAGTAAGATGTATACCTGGTGATGTTGGTAAGTAGTTGTGTTTTTCTATTATTCATTTGGCTAATAATTCGATTTTGCATAACATTTTATCTTTCTAGTTTGTCGTACGTAGAACGTTGAACTTTATCATTCTATTCTTAAATTAAAGAAATGTATATCAGACATTCTTGACGGTGTGTCAGTTAGAGGAACCATTGAAAACCAAGGAGTACTGGATAGCTACCAACCAACCAAGAACCTACTGCCAAACAGAGATATGCTGAAGAAAGCGGAGACGGATTAGGCATACACTGAACTAGGAGACCGTTGAGTGGTATCACACGCCATGGGCCCTCATCGTTTCAACAACTTAGTTCGCAGAACTACTTGACGTACGTGTTAATGATGCCAATTCACTGTAGTAGGTACACTGATCTGGCGGTTCATGCTTATTTGCAATGAAGATGTAAGTTTCCAAGAAGAGTGCCCCATTGTTACGATGGATAGTAGGCAGGTAGGATAAATAAAAACGCGAAGTGTAAGAATAAATACACATATATCTTTGAAAAGAGAAAGAATGAACATGTTCGCAGGATAATACGAGCTCGTTTTATTTCGTAGATACTCATCAACTGCATACATCCTAAACAAATTCAAATTATAAGTCCTTTTTTCATAATTACTTGGAGTTATAGATAGAAGGTATAAGGAACATAATTCCAGAATTTGATGTAGGTAGACAGATTATTCAGTGTCAAAAAACAACTAACTAAATATATAGTGGAATTAGATAAGAGGGGTTAGAGTTCAGATTTCTATTGGAAAACACAGATTGGTTAAAGGAATAATACAGGGTCAGAGTCAGACAAGAGAGTGGATTTACACATCTTGTGGTGGAAAGTTTAAGAGGGTGGGGGTGAATAGTGAAGTAACATCTTTAACTTAAACAGACAATTAAGTGGATTTAGAAACTTGATAGTCAGTTCAACTAAGCAAGTGAAAGTCAAAATTGAATAGAATGTTTCGTAACAAGACAAACACACAGGCATACTGACAAAAAGGCAAAACAAAAATAAAATAGAATTAGGGTTACCAGGGTAGTGAAAGATTAGTCACACTATCTTTCTGTATACAGAGATCTGGTCGAAGTCTCTTGATAGCAATGGCTTCTGCAAAGCGAAGTAGCCATGGGTTTCTTTGCGTATTGATTATTTTGAAGGCTTGGCTAATTTCTACTGTGTGTCCTGTGTCAATTAAATGTCTGGCGATTGCACTCGATAACACTTTTCTTCCTTTTGTCCGGAGACTCTTAGGAATGTGCTCAGAAAATCTAGTAGATGCTCTCCTCTCAGTCCTTCCTATGTACTTGCTTCCGCAAGTGCAAGTGAATTGGTAAATGCAGTTGGAGTTGACGTGAGCAGGGTGCTCATCTACTTTTGACTGGGTTAACGAGCACACAGTGTTGTGAAATAGGATCAGTCTGGCGGCTGGAAACGTTCTTTTTAATGCACCTGTGATTCTTTTTTGTGTTCTTGTGGATACGTCTTCCCCTTTGTACGCTAGGCAGATGAAAACTGGTTTCTTTTCAACGGTGTCAGGTTTCGGTTTGTGTGCTTCTTCATTTCTATACTTTAATATGAACTTTCGGGGATATCCATTCTCGATAAGGTTCTTTTCGATGACCGCGAGTTCTTCTTCAATCTTGTCTTCCGAACATATTTCTTTGGCTCTGCTGAAGAGCGTTTTTACTAGACCTCGTTTGTAACTGGTTGGGCAAAAGCTGTGATAATTTAAGTATTGACCAGTCCAAGTTTCTTTCCTGTAGACAGATTTTTGAATCGTCCCATCGTTTCTTCTTTTTATGTTGACATCTAGGAAATGGAACTGGTTGTTTCTTTCGTAGTCAATTGTAAATGCAATGTTGGGATGAGCCGCATTGAGTTTCTCAAACATTGCGGACGCGTGTTCTATATCAATGCAGACCACAAACGTGTCGTCGACATATCTGCAGTAATAGGTGGTTCTTTCTATATCTTCTTTCGAGTCTGTTCAAGATGAGCCATGAATATGTCAGCAAGAACAGGACCCAGAGGTGAACCCATAGCCATTCCGTCAATCTGCCGGTATAGCTGATTGTTGAATCGGAGTTGAATATTCTTTGTACATAGAAGTAGCAGTTTGCGTAGCTCATTTTCTGGAAGAGGAAGCAGTTCAGACTGCTGGCGTATGATTTTTACCGTTTCTTCGATGGATATGCTGGTAAACAGTGAACAAACGTCGTGAGCCGCCAGCTTTTTCTGAATGGGTTCCAGCTTTTGGGCCAACCAACTGGCCAGTTTATAGCATGGTGATTTCACCATTGATATTATAGGTCTCAATGGTACATCAATTTTGTGAACTTTGGGTTCACCTTACATGAATGGTACACGCGAAGCCCTTGGTTTAAGGTCGTTGTAAGTGCTGTTGTCTATTAGCCCTTCTTTTAAGGTGCTTGTTTACTTGATTTTCGAAGGCCGTTGTTGCTTCTTTTTTCGACATATCGACTTGGAATCTTATTGTATCATCGAGAATGGTTTTCATTTTAAAGATGTAGTCTCGGCGGCTCATTATTACGACACCTGAACCTTTGTCTGGATTGAGAATGACGATACTTTCATTGTTTCTTATGTTTTTATTGCTGTTCTGTGTTCTTTAGTAAATAATTTTGAGTGTGCTCGAGGAGAAATCTGATATTGTTCTGCAGTAGTGATCATTTTGGACTTAAATCAGACGCTTTTATCCTCGTCTATGGGTTTAAGGTCGGAAAGTTGACTGTATAAATACTCAAACTGCGTTTCTGTATCCATTCTGTTGATAAACGAGATTGGTACGTGGTACTTAAATCCTAAGGACAGAGCTTCAGTTTCAATTTTATTAAGTTTTACATCTGATAAATTTTATATGTATTTTTCTGGGCACTGAGTAATCTGTCTGCCTACATCAAATTCTGGAATTATGTTCCTTATACCTTCTACCTATAACTCCATGTAATTATGAAAAAAGTATGTTCCAAAACTTTTTTGAGACTTATAATTTGAATTTGTTTAGGATGTATGCAGTTGATGAGTATCTACGAAATAAAACGATCTCGTATTATCCTGCAAACATATTCGTTTTTTCTCTCTTCAAACTAATAAAGGGAACCGGTTGTATGAAGCATATTTATCTGCTTTATTGGCTGAGAACACTGTATTTACCAGGAAGTGTGGATATAAGATAAACAAATGTTTGGTTCAAACAAAGAATAAACAATACACCCTTACAGAAGGGAATGTTATTATTAACAAAAATTTATATAAAGTCATATATACGTTCTCAACACTTTCTACGGTGATTTAGTGATCTCTTGAAGAATAGTAGCCAAGACTGATGTTTTTAAACGATCATACTGCCAGTCAGTCAATTAATCACTTCATCGTAATCCACTGATCTATGCTTCAAATGACCTTGAACCGACTAATCATATTCTGTGTGAAATGTGACATTTATTGTATAAAAATAACTTATAAAATATATATGTGATAAGAATGAATTATACAGAGTATTTATCCCATGTATGCTGCAAAAATCGGTCATAGTCTCTCATAGGAGTGTCCTTAGACATATCAGTGCAAAAATTCATCTGAGTGACTGTATATCATATAGGTGACCATTTACCATTCTATTACGTTTTTTAGATGAACCCAGAATCCTTCAGTAGAGTCTGCATGAGTTCTACCTATAGGATTCACTAATTCAGAAGAATAATTGACTTTATGCTGAATATAGCCTAATGATGATAGTTGCGAATAACCATCCCATTCGTCTGTGTGAATTGTAGTGTCTGTGAGGATTGGTCGTTGTATTATTGGTATTAAAACACTGGTACTTATGTTTCGGCTGTGTTCTACTAACCCTTTTCGAAGACTTCTGTCATACAGTCCCGGCACCCAAACACGATTCGCTCTTCTCCTACAGCGGCGATTCATTTTTCGCTTAATAAGTACTGTTTCGTCAGTATGAACGACGACACCATTCCTCCAAGTACATAAGTAATTCCATTGATCTTTTGTTAGGCAATGTCCGTACAGTGCTGACACTACTACACTGTTCACATCTTAGTATTCTCTGTTTCTGCAGCTTTAGCAGATACTGGTCGTCTCAGTGGCTAATTGCGATATATACGCAATATTTTACTAAGGGAGAGTTTCGATTTCGAGAAGAAAGTATCTAAAAAAAATCACCATGATGTACAACTTACTAACTCTTACAAACTACCTGCTATGACGAAGACTGCATCTGAATACATGACCATCAATAGCCTGGCACTAATTTTGCAGAGTCATTATCCCTCCACCACATATGCATGTTTTAGTTCACCCTATCAATCCATTTTCCACACAGAAGGCAAAAACCAAATCTGGGTAAAACTTGCAATAAAAATTGTGAATAGCATCTGTTTGCAATGCTGAGCGACCTGATCAGTCGTTTTAAAGTCATTTGACTACGGTGTCTACTCTTTGCTGTTGCCAAAGTTCTTATTGTTTTATATGTTTATTAAGTCTTGCTTTTTGTCAGGTTACTAGTCCGTCTTTTTCTTTTATTAAATTTCTCACACTCATGACTATGTATCTCTATATGTAAATTTATCTCATTTTTTTTTCATTTGATCTACAGCTATTGATACAGTAGTAAATGTTGTGCTTAGTCTACGTTCAACCGGTCAGCATATTGAAATCCCTGTGCGAGTTAGTCTACCATCTGTTAGTCAATTGGATAGTAAAGAAATAATCAAACAGTCCACTTCGTCGCCTTACTTTTTAAATTTCTCCTGGATTCACCTGTTTGCTGTTATCGTAATCACATTATTGATTGCTATTATTGGTGAGTTTTGGTTCCGTATTCATTTTTTATCTTTAGATTTCTAATCATAATGTCAAGCTTGTTCTAGTCATCAGGCGAAAAATATCGATGTTATCTTCTGTGTGAGCTCTGGACGGTTTAACTGAGAAAGTTTCTTTTGTTCTTCTAGACAGCATGTTCAGCACTAAGTTGACTGTGAAATGGGTTTCCGAAGTTCTCCTTAAATGATATAACTATCCCGCCTGATGATTCTAACTGTTATTGGTTGTCTTCGGAGGTCTTCTTAACCATGTTTGTGTGTATAAAAACAATCAAAGCTTCTCATGTGAATCATTCAACTCAGAGAAAATAATACCCATATGAACGATAAATCATCTTTATAGAATATTTGATGCAAATAATTGCCATTGATAGAAAGAGAAGGCGTTGTCTGACGGCATCACTTAACAAAAGTTGCACTCCAATTTTCACTATCTCTTAATTTTGATGATACATTTTCACTATTTCACTTCATTTGTTTGAACCTTTAGTACTTCAGTTTGTTACCTGTCCTGACATGTATCACTGAGTCTCATTTTTTATTGGGGTTTCTTCATGTTTTATGTCGTTTTTACGTTTCCAGTGGAACAAAGGGCTTCAAGATACAGGCTTGAAGTTTCGGTATCAGCGTGTGTTAATTTTTATAGGATGAGGTTGCTAGCCTCATGTCCAACCTTCGTTCTTTACCAGTCTTATTACTGGCTTAGCTAAGTAAAAAAGGTGTGTAAACCGCGGATCGAACTCCAGACTACATGCGTGGTTAGCGAGCGTTCTACCACTGTGCCACTGATGCACAAATGTTTTATGTTCACGAGAGTGAAATTTTATTGAAAACATGCTAAGGTGGCTAGCTAAACAACGACATGAATATTATACACAGTCTTTAACTGATAATCTATGATAACACTGAGCAGTTCTTCGAAGTAAAATTAATAACACATTAAGATGACTTGTTGGTGTTGTCATTAATTACTAGTAAAGAACAGTACTACTAATGCTTTTTATCACTTAAAAATATAGGCCAGATAAAACTCTCTTCAAAGGATTTTTGAGGTGAGGAAATGTTTTTCTTACCATTGAGAGCTACAGAGCAATGAATAGTCGTTCCTCACTTCTCAGTTATGTGCATGCATGATCCCATAGGCAATCGATTTCAGGACCTTTGGGTTCAACATATAAAGATGTTACTATTCAACCACTTCTATGTGGGAATTCATTTTTCCGTATAAATTCGAACCTTTATCAATTCACCTCATATCCTCACCGTCGTCCACTGTTATCAACTTCGACTTGGCCGACTCCATGCATAACGATTCCTCATCATCAGCACTACAGAGAATTCATCTCGAAGTTATTCGTTAACCAGTATTGTATTGATATTTACATACTAGTTGAATTCAGTGATAGTTCTCGTCGGTATATCATGTCGCTAGTGTTCAACACATCTCCAGTTAATTTTGATTCGTGAAGAAATTTAATTTGAAATTAATTAAAGTCGCTGAAAAAAGCAACTTTTCAATCTTTTTCTTAGTCTGCTCGCATCACAAAATACAATTGATTAGTGGAAATATGGTCTTTATGAGTAATTCCATTCCTTTACATTCTTTCGTTTAATATCTGCATATTTTTATACTAATAAATGTTGTCCTGTTTTTTTTCTCTTTACAGTACACATCATATTACGCAGTGAGACACTAGTAAGTACTTCAAGTGGTTCAAATGTTGGAAAGTATTCCACTGGTCCGCTTCCTCCGTTAACAACTAATAGTCTGAATCACTCTCATGCTAATGGTCAATTGTGGAGTCAAAGCTTCATTCCCAGCAGAAGTCCGAATGCATTTCGACAATCTCCTCTGTCATATGCAGGCTTACGTTCACCTAACTATTCACCTACATTCCATTCAGAAAGTTTACCGACTCACACTGGATCTACTAATATTGTTCAACGTACTCCGCCTAAACTTAGTGTTGGCGGAAGTGGTGACTTAGTCAATGATGAGAGAAGATGGCGACAGGCGCTTAGCGGTAATGCTAGTCGTTTAAGAGATAGTTTTGATAATATGTAAATTTACATTACAGTGAATCATATTTCTGCTGTATTCATCCATCGTTGTTTCACTGTTGTTTTGCATCTCATCACATGTTTCACTCGTTTATTACATTCCCATTAAAGTTTCCTTCTAGCAATATCACTTTTTGTATATGTCGTTTGGGTAGACATTTTTTGCCAAGGTTGTTTGATAATATAAGCATTTATTACAGCATATCTAGACTATGCCTTTTTGTAATTGTTCATATTCAGAGTTAACTCCTTTTTCTATTAACCGCAATAGATATCTCCCATTAAAAACCATTTGTGTTATAATTAATAAAAACATTGTTATTAAATTATGGTAGTTGACTTTTCTCTCAGGTAGGTGATCCTAATGGAAATGACTCCAGAGGTATTAAAGTACGGTGGAGACATTTTACTGTCTGCATTAACTGAGGTTCTAGGCAGCGTCTGGGAATCGGAGGAAGTCCCATCGGGTTGGTGTAAGTCACTGATCATCCCGATATACAAGAAGGGAGACAAGTCTTCCTGTGATAATCACAGAGGGATTAGCTTGACTAATATAGTATCTAAAGTCCTGGGCTCAATAATATTGCGTAGACTAAGTGGTGCTCGGGAGGCACAAACACGAGAAAACCAGGCAGACTTTAGGCCAGGAAGAGGGCTATTGATCATATCTTCACCCTCCGACAGATTCTAGAACATAGGCATTCCTACCGGCGGCCAACAATCATTATATTTCTTGACCTAAAGGCGGCATTCGATTCTGTCGACCGAGAGGTTCTCTAGCGATGCTTGGCTGTAAAGGGAATGCCGAGAAAATACATTGCACTGATCATGGCATTCACTCTACTCGTACTCATGCAGCCAGGTGAGGGCTTATGGCGAGTTGTCATCTGAAGTGGTGACGACTAGTGGCGTCCGTCAAGGATGCCCATTATCCCCATTTCTATTCAACTTCATCATAGATGTACTAATGGTCTTAACCCTAACTCAATTCAGCGACTCAGGGATTGACTTGCTACCAGGGAAGAATCTCGTTGACTTAGAATATGCGGACGATATAGTCCTTCTAGGCGAGGACGCTGACAAAATAGAGCAGAGTCTTCTGAACACCTTGAGCTGCCATCTAAGAATGTTTGGCATGCGATTCGCCCCTGTAAAATGTAAGATGATGTTGCAGGATTGGACTACACCGACCCCTAGATTAGAAATAGGAAGTGAAGTGGTAGAGCACGTTGACCGCTTCACTTACTTGGGAAGTACCATCAGCCCCAACGGGTTGATCTCTGACGAAATCTTAGCACGGATACAGAGGGCTAGTTTCGCATATGCCAGTTTACGCCGTCTCTGGATTAGTAGACGTGACATCCGGCTATCGACCAAAGGGCGTGTGTACTGCTCAACAGTCCGCTCCGTCCTCCTTTATGGCTGTGAGACCTGGCCATTGAGAGCAGAAGACATGAAAAGATTAGCTGTCTTTGATCATAGGTGTCTGCGTTCTATCTCCCGTGTGAAGTAGTATGATAAGGTGAGCAATATTGAGGTTAGGCGTCGAGTGCTAGGTAAGGAGGAGAAATCAATCGACTGAGATGGTTAGGACATGTGTTACGTATGCTTATTCATCGCCTTCTTCGTCGGGCAATATTAGCTGATATAGGGTCAGGCTGGAAAAGAGCTGGCGGCGGTCAAACGAAAACATGGCTTCACCAGTCAATGAAATCCACAACAGTTAGTCTAGGCCCACGTAGGAAGGTGTAGACTTCCTGGTTGGGGTCCTCGGGACGGTAAAAACCAATGGTTGGAAACAATTGGTGACATGGCTCAAAATCGTTCTCAATGATTGGCGCAGATGCATCCACTCCTTGTGACTCATGATTTCCAATTAAACTGTTTTGTTCTTCGTTATAACTATTCCTTTGTCTCACACCTCTGTTTACTGTCTCTAATATGCATTTCTCCTACTTTCTTCTCATGCTTTGTGTGCTACATGGAGTATGGCGACTTGAACTGCCGCACATATGTGCAAAGTTCTATGTCAAAAACAGACAGAGGTGATCAGCAATATTTTCAATGAATATGCTTGGGTTAGGTTACCTGATAGATAATGCCTACAGGTGGAATTCAGGACGCACATTTCATCCTATGAGTAACTTGTAAGCTGGATATGCATACCTGTAACCCACTGAAGCTCAAACTCATCGTCTCAAAGATATAAGAATAGAACATGAGCACAATGGTAGAGTATAATCCCATCACAGAGTGAATTTATTTGATAAAGTATCACAGTTTTATACAGTACTATATACTGATGACGTTTTGAGCACAATTCATAGCTTATTATCATATCAAGGTACTCACACAATTCTCCAACTTCATTTATATACATGAGTAACAAATTGATTAGACATATGAATGAATAAATAAAAGTCAATATGAGGTTCAATAGACATGTGGGAAACAGTTTATGGGAAGATGAAGTACATTCGGAAATAGAACGACCGCTGTCAATACGATATAATGATATAGGAAATAAGTTGTTTTGTCGGTAAAATAAAACAAATTAATAAAATCTGATTACGTAAACTGAAATAAAATAAAGCAAAATTAAACATTATTTCTTTTCCTTTGGCTTAATTGGTAGTAACATCTTCCAAATCCCTGGTATTGAAGCTGATTTATTTTTATTGAATGTGTTGGGTGTGGATTCGATGAAAAAAAGATTATATAACCAACTTTCTCTCCATCTTCCCATATTACACTATAAAGTTGTAACTCTGTCCCACCCTACTGTGTAGTTCTCTGTTACTACATGCATTGCGATAACTGCGTTTTTTCCTAAATTACTCATCTTCGTTATTATTATTTATTATTGTTTCCTTTAGTTCCTAGAGGAATATAGGGCTTCAGCCGCACGTCTCCATTGTGTTCGGTTCTCCGCCAACTTTTTCACCCGGCCAACTCGCCGCTTCCCATTCGGGTTCCCCTCAAGAACCTGGCGTGTGATGTCAATTGATGGTTTGTTTTCTCAGAGTATGGTTCCTGCTTGGTTGGTTCACTCCCAGAGGTGCCACGCTGTTGCTGATCTTTTCTGGCCGGCCATCTGATCTTGAGTATTGAGCAAAGACAGCTGTTGATAAGGTCTGTACTTTGTTCGAAGTGCCATTCGTGACGCGGCATCAAGTCTCTGGTCCGTATAGTAGCACTGACTTCACATTGGAGTTGAAAATCCGGATCTTATTTTTGATGCTGAGTGCCACTGATCTCCACAGAGACTTGAGAGTAATGAAAGCTTGCCCTGCTTTCCTGATCCTCGCCTTGAGATTCTCATCAGTTCCGCCTGTAGTTGAAACGATGCTTCCTAGGCTGGTGTAGGTAAAGGAGGTAACTTCTTTCAGATTTCTCCCATTTATACTGGCTGATTGTTGTCTGTTGCTGTTGATGTTGGCCAGGAATCTTCATCACCTCTGTTTTCTTTGTGTTCACGTGAAGGAAGGTCTATCTTCTCTGCCAACTTGTTGCCTTTCGCTTGCATATCTTAAAGTTTGTGGGAAATCAGACAGACCCATCTTTCTAAGGTAATTCATTCTACACTCAGCTAAATTCTTGCGTTTCGGTAGTCTGATTAACCCATAACTACTGATTTTACCTATGTGGTTCACCTCACACTCGTTGCAAGGTATTTTTGTAAATTACATTATTTCGTGTGATTGGGTTAATAGGGTCCTTTAATCTACAGATGTTGTCCCTAAATGAGTTTGTAGGTTTAAATGCCACCCTAATTCCCCGACTTATTACGAATCCTACGCGGGGTTTCAGATGTCCCTTCTTCATGTGGTAATACTGTAGATGCTTTAAATTCTTTCTTATTGATGTTATCGTTACCAGTTTCACCATTATTTCTCTTTTTCTTGTGAGCGTTCGCAATCTTCTAAATGAACTTTATGGGATAGTTATTGAACATCAATTCTTCTCTTTGTTTCATTCGTCATTTAGGTTTTTTGATGTACTACTTAGTGTGATTGCCCGGTTTGTAAGACATTTAACTGAACGCGCCTTCACAGATAGTGGATGAGATGAATTAAGGTCTAAATATTCATCAAACACCAAAGTGCGTTATTCAATAGGTTATTGCTTCCTCATCGGATGTGCTTCATTTTGAAATGTCATTTTTTGTTTGCAAGATATACTTTTGTTTATTTCTGTGTGTGTGTGTGCAGCTTTTAATGATAAGTTTCATAAATCTGTTCAAAATGAGCAACTTTTACAGATATCTGTCATCTTACATATGAATGGGAATCATCCCTTCACCATTTGATTGAGTGCTTGCAGAATTACCGTGGTTGCTGGCTATACAGGAAGAAAGTTTGTTTTATAGAGTTGTAAGTTGTACTAGATTATGTTTTTAGGCTTATCTAACAACTCCGGTATACTACTACTGTAGAGATACATTCTGGACAGAACAGAATATCTAAAGAAATACAGGGTATAAATGGTCAATACGATACAAGTTCAAAAAGAGGAAACTGAATCTTTTGGTGCACATAAGGGTATTTGGACAGTTGACTCTAGGTTAGACATTCTGTGGATGTTATTTTTTTGCCTGAAAGAGAAAAAAAAGATAAGTTTTATTTAATAACAGGCTACTACACCCGTTTACGGGTGTTGAGTTTCCTACAAAAAATTGACCGCCAGAGTGTACAGTTTCTGAGGTCTACCTTCATCCACTGTAGGAGTATTCGGTGTAATTGGCTTTTTAGACTTCCAAGGGAAATATCTGACTGTCGTAATATTCCTCACAACCTATTTGTAAAGGAATCAGCTTATGCGTTGACATAAACTGTCTAGCTGAACGTCCTGGAATTCAAGGGACAATCGTAGCAACCAGTATAGCTTGTTGGGTCATTGCGATATGCAGATTAAGCAACTACCTACTTTTGACTACAGGCAATTTAATGGCTGTGATACAGATCGAGTCGCAGTCTTTATTGATATACTTTTCGACGGATAATG